GACAACTCATGCAACTGAACTACATTATAAGTGAAGATATGAGTTAAATTCTTTGACTTCAAGTTCTTGTGAGTGAGTATAAAGTATGTTATCTTAATGAAGTGATTCACTATCATCAGCACACTGTCAAAGCAGGTATTATATATATTCTTGCTTTCAGAGAGGCTCACAAGAGCATTCATTTCTAGCTGTTCTCAAGGTTTCTGTAAGATGAGTAAAGAAGTAAGTTCTTTATATAGCCTGAACTGCACTACTCACAAATTCTGATAAATAGTATAAGAATTCACTATCTTCTTCACAAGTTCTTATATCTTCAGTCAGAAGTATTTTCTTATAAGTAACTCATGAGTTCTAGTATCTGTAAAATAATCTGCTAGAGAAGAGTCATGATACCTTTTAATAAGTTCTATGTATAGAAACTTATTCACAGGCACATAAATTCAGTCCTCTCTTCATAAGAGATTATTTAAGTTTCTTCAATTCTTTATTTCTGCAGAGTTAATTCCTGCTGTGAGCAGTTTCTGAATATACTGAATATATTCATTCTTCAGTTACAGTTCAGACAATCTGAATAGAAGATCTTATAGAGACTTATACTCTGTTTTTTCTTATATCAGATCTTCTGCAGTGTTTCTCAAAGCCTGCAAACTCTTCAGATTATAGATACTCTCTTCAAGAATTCTCATAAAGATTCTCAGAGTATTGACTCTCAGTGTTATAGAGAGTAGTTGTACAGACTTCTTTTCTCTTTTCTCTCTCTTCTCTTACAGAGAATTGAGAGACTCTTCAGTTAATCTCTTTATAACACTCAGTCTGAGCATTCTGTGAAGCTTTTCTATCTTCTCTAGTCTCTCTGTATCTGTCACTCTGATCTTCTTAATATAGTCTGATCTGTGAGAGAGTCTGTCTGCTGAGTTCTTAGTTTTCTTGATATATTCTATCTTGAATCAGAACTCACTCAGTTTCTGAACTCAGTAAATCTGCTGCTGTGAGAGTTTCTTGATTAAAGTAAACTGTTACAAGCTGTCATGATCAGTTCTAACAGTAATCACTGTCATAAGACTCTCAAAGTAGTGATATCAGTGATAGAAGAATTTCACTATTGTAAGAAGCTTCTGATCATGAATGTCATAGTTGATCTCTGCAGGTTGCATCTTCTGTAAGAAAAAGATCACTAAAACTCAGTTCTCATTTAACTGTAGTTATAAGACTATTTCTGAAATTACAAAGAAGAAGATATCTGTCTTCAATCTGATTAAGAGTAAGAGATTAAAGTGAAACAGTATCACTGCATCTGTGAATATCTATTTCAATCTTACAAAGACTCTATAAGCTTCTGAAGTAAGAAAGTTCTTGCAGTTCTCTCTTCTCAATAATCTTTTTATTCTTTATTCATAGAATAACTTCTTCTTATTTTCACTCTTCAGCATGTCTGTAAGAGCTAAGAAGATTCTTATAAATGCAAAGATAAATCATCTATAGAAATTCACAAAGCTCAGAAAGATCTGAATCTCATGAATACTAGTTAACTTCAGTCATAATAGAATAGTCTCAATCTATGAAGATTTCATCTGAATATCATCTGCAGTAATTATATATTCTAGAAAATTAATTCAATAAATACTGAAGTTGCACTTTGTAAGCTTAATATACAGTTCTGTCTTATCTAAGATCTTCAACACACTTCACATATACTCAGTGTGTCCTTTCTCCTTCATAGAGTACACTATTACATCATTCAGATATATTATTATGAAGACATTCAGATATACACAAAGTATTTTATTAATAAAAGACTGAAATATTATGAGAGTATTAATCAGATCAAAAGACACTACTAGATATTCAAACAATCTCAGTGCAGTTCTGAAGACAGTCTTTTATTCATTCTCAGATTATATTCACAGCTGTATATATATATTAATCACATTCAGTTATATGAATATGACAGCTTTTATAAGATAGTTAATTACATTCTTAATCAGAGACAGAGAATAGCAGCTCTTTATTATCTTAAAGTTCAGATTGCAGTAGTCTATATATAATCTGAGATCTTCATTCTTCTTCTTTATGAATATCACAGAGACTTTTATAAAGATCTGTGAAAATCAGATGAAGTCATTCTTCAGATTCTTCTTTATATAGATTTATAAGATCTCTGTTTTATAATAAGAGAGCTTATAGATTGATTCTCAGAAGGGTTTCTACTCTTCTATTAAATCTATTATCAGATTCTTCTTATAGTAAGAAGAAAGCTCAGCTATCTTTACTGAGCTGAACATCTCTGTGAGATCTCAGTATTTCTCTGATATCTGAAGCTTGATTTTCATAATCACAAGATTCTCAGACACTTGCAAAGTCATTATATAGATGAGCTTGTCTTCTCTAATTAACTCTGTAGTATTAACTGATTCTATCTCTGTAAGTAAGTCTGTCAACACTGATCAGAAGTATAAACCTGACTCATGAACAGCTATGTATGAATTATGTCTTTAAAGTTATGTAAGTCTCAAGTACATGTCATCTATAATATCTGTGATAATCACAGTTTTTATAAATCTTCTTCAGATTTCAGAGAGATCTTGTAATTTAAAGATGACTCTTATAAGTTTCTCAGTTCTCAGATCTGAGTTCTCACACTCTACTTATTATAAGAGTAGATTCTCAGTCTTCATCTTTCAGCTTATTCACTCTATGAGCTTCAGAGACATCACAGTGATCTGAGATTCTGAGTTCATCAATACTTCTCATGCTTATGAGATAGTAGTATTACAGCACAGTCTCTCTCTATAAGTAAGCATTTTCATCAGAAGAGTAACAGATTCAGATATCAGCTTCAAGACTCTTAAGAAGGCTGTTACTGACTCTGTCTGTGACTTTTCAAATTTCTATTTTAATTTATCTAAACAGTTTGTATGAAGATATTCTGATTTAAAATAGATGAAGTAGAGTCTCTTTTCCTTGATCTCTCTGTTATACACTCTGTTCATAGAAGCTTATAAAGCTCTTTCTCTCTACTCAGTAGTCAGATACAAATCTCTCTATATCTTATTATCTTTTTCTGATAAATCTGTTCTCTGTTATTCTAGTTCTTACAGAGTCAGTCAGTGATTCACTCTCTGCAGATCTGTGACTCTCACAGTAATCTGTAAACAGTGAATGAGAGTCATCAGTTTCTTCAGAGTCAAGAACTTAGAGTCTTACTTAATAAGCTTATTCTGCATGTCTTTATTCAGTCTCTATATAAATATTATTATTCAGATCTTGTTTCAGAGCTCTGTTTTCACAGATCTTAATTCATATCATAATTCTATGAAGCACTGTAAGTAGTCTTCATCAGATTTCTCATCTCTTTTTCTAATATTAATAATTATGATTCAGATGTTCTCTGTACAGCTCACAGAGTCTCTCAACTTATTCTCTAGATAGGTCTTAAGAATAGATCAGTAGAATCTCTCATAATTATTCTTTAAATAATTCAGTCAGTTCTTGACTTCAGTGTAATAAAGATCTGTCATTACATAGATGACAGCTTCTTTATCTTTTATATCACACAGTCAGACTTGTAAGTCAATTTTAAATACAAACTTATAAAAGCTTTTATAGATTGTGATTTGATAAGTAATCTTAAGTGATTACAGCTTAAGAAAGTTTCTTTTCAGTTTATAAGTATCTCTGAAGATCATGTCTAGAGACTCAGTTCAAGAATGTTTGCAGATAGTAAGTATTTCTTATAGAAAAATAGCTTGATTCTGTGAGAGATGCTTAAGAATGTTCTTCACTGAGATTAATTCATTCATGAATTCAGAGAATTTCTCTGTCACAGATGCAGAGAATGATGTTCTATGAGTGATTGATAAGTTCTCTAAGACTTCTTTCATGAAGATTATTCATAGTTCAGATGACTGTTTCTGAGTGTCTGTAGTAGAGTTCACAGAGATTGAAGCATATAAGTTTCTAGTTCTTTCAGTCATAACAGGTGATTGCTGACTGACTGAGCTTGAAATGTAAGAATAAATGCTCACAGATGATTATTTGAGTGTTTGCAGCTTGATATGATATGTACTGTTAACTACTAGAAGTATTTATAATAGAAAGATAAAATATAGAGATCAAATGTATAATAGCATTTAAGCTGAGTTATGAATAGTATTCACGAACTCCAGTCTATATAGTTGTGTGTAGTCAAGGGCCGCTAGCTCTATTAATTAGGCGAGAGATAGGAATAGAGATAAAGAATTCATGAGAAGCAGAATTTCTTACAATTTCATAAGATTTGTATTACTGAAGAAGATAAATAACTTACAGTATTCTGAACATGTTATGACCTCTTTAAATGAATAGTAATACTCTTTGAACTGACTAATGCTTTCAGTATATTTCAGAAGTATATCAACTGAGCACTCTGAGATTTTCTTGATAAGTTTGTATCTTCTTATCTAGATAATATTCTCATCTTCACTGATAAATTTAGAAAAGAATATCAAGAGCATGTGCAAAGAGTATTACAATGATTACAAGAAGCAGAACTATCAATTGATATTAATAAGTGTGATTTTGAAGTTAAAAGTACTAAATACTTAGATTTCATCATAGAAGCTGATAAGAGAATTTAAATAAATTCTGAGAAGATCTCTATCATTCTCAAATAAGAAGCTTCATATACTGTGAAAGATGTATAAAGCTTCATTAAATTCACTAACTTCTATCAGTGTGTGATTCAAAGGTTGCTTAAGCCAGCGTATGATTACAGGCGTACGCCGGCTTCTTATATATTGAATCTCGTACGCTAAATTAATTAGTGGCCGCTAGGGCCCCCTTTACATTCATACATGTACGCTAGTAGTTCGGAAGCATACACGTACGCTAGTAGTTCGGAAGCGGCCGCATTATTATCCGACAGTCGTACATTCTTCTGAATCACATCCTCTCCCACCAGATTCAGTCACACTCACATGACCATGTTATACACCCTAGCTTCATGCAGATTAGCTCACCAGTAGTGTTTCACAATTGTGTGACCTATCTCTGATTCAGCTAGCATTCTGTGTACACTCTCACAAAGAAACTTCCACTATATTACATCACTCATTCACTAACTTTTCTCATTCTTCAATCATCTTCTTCATCATCATCATCATCAAATGTCACTATCTTATTCAAGATTTCTACTTCTTCTTCTGTTCAACTCTTTTCATCTGTTTATCTATCACATTATACACATTTCTGACAATGGCCTCTCATTCTCATAACAAGCATCATCATAGTGCTCATACCAGGCAGTTTGTTAGCAGTAAGTGTAACACATTGTGAAACATGATCAGAACTTGTTTATCTTCTAACAATTATCAGAATATACTATCATGAATGACACACCTTCTTCATCTTCTTATACACTCTCAACTGTTTCTTCTTCTCAGCAGGTTTCTGATCATGTTTTCTGACATGATTTTATGTGAACACAGATGCTGATATGTTTGTTTTTATTCATGTAGAATTGTCATGTATTGACAGATTCATATTCACTGATGATAGTAAACCCAGTGTTGAATCATTGATCAAGAACTTGAAGAACATGATAATAGAGAAATTGTCTGTGTCATGTGTGACTGAGTCTTCAGTGTTCTTCCCTGCTTCTTCTACTGCTTCTTCCTCTGCTACTTTCTCTCAATCTTCTACACTTACCTCTGTGTCTGATTCTCCTGCTCTCACTACCTCTGTTCCCGTGACCCCTACTCTCACTACTCCTGGTTTTGCTATCTCTGCCTTCCTTACTAGCTCTCCTCATTTCAAGGAGATGTTGTATAGGCTTGATGAATCACATTTCTCAGTATGTATACTTTCACCCTTCTTACTGACCCCTAGAATGATTTATTGTATGAAGACAGTGTATAACATGACTATCTGAAGTTCAGTCACAGACACTGATTATTACATTCATTTTAAATATTCATAGTGAGACAATCATCTATTCATCTCAGAGAATCACTCTCTCTCTCAACAGTATTAAGATTATAAGTCTTTTTCTTTTTTCATCTTTTTCTTTCTGATGCTGATTTTCCTGTTCTTTGAAAAAATCATTATGAGTTTTGCTGTGTATGAAGTCATGATATTTACAGACATCAAGAAACTTTTTACAACTGTAAAGTTCAACATTACAGAAACATTCACTCTGACAAATTCCTTCAGAATAATAGATTCATATCAGTCTATTCTCTGATATCTGTTGTCTGACTTCATGATGCAGGCAAAAGATATTCATGTTTTCAGAAACAGAAACACAGATGTCATACTCTTTTACATTCACAGATGTGAGACTCATATGCCTTGTCTGAGATGTCATTGTGAGAATGAGCTGTTCACACACTGCATTCTGCTTCCTGCATTTCTCTGTGTCTCTCTCTCTCTTTCTGAGAAGCCTTATGCATGTTGTAATTATGCATACAACTCTAAGATCAGTGAGTGTTTGTTCAGTAACTGTTCTCATCTCTGATTTTGCAATTTTCATACACTAACAATAATTCTTAGTTACTTCAGCATCAGAGGTCATTCTGATTGAAGATAATAACACTGCTGAGACTACTCTCTTCTACTCTCAAGCTTCTCTCATCACTTTCTCTCTCTTCTCTGTGAGAAAGATTGTGTACACACTGAGTTATAAGTATTCAGCCCTGAGTGGCTTCTGTTATTCATCTGATTCTGTGTCTTCTCCTTCTTCTGTTTCTTTCACCTCTGTCTCTTCTGTCCTGGCTCCTGGTTCTGTGAGTCTTGCACTCTTCTTCAATTTCTCTACATGTACACGTGCGCATTCCTATATTGGCATTCCAGCCAATCTTGTGATTAATGACATTAATGTCATACACAGAGCAGTAGAGGAATCAGAGACATGCACAGCATTGTTGTAAGAGCAGCTTACAACTCTTGAATTCCTTGCAGATCTCAAGTTTTGAGATTTCCTTTATTTTTAATGTTTTTCAGATGACATAATATTGGAAATAGATTAAACATGTGATGTATGAAAATGAATGAGATGTGTATGATAACATTTGTCTTTTACAGCTGACTCTTACAGTTAATGATCAATTCATTATCTCTTTTCTTACACTTTTTCTTTATCTGCTAGTTACTACTCTTACATGACCTCTATATGATACAGTGTTCAGTGACTAGGTTTGACAGCTTTTATCTTTGTGATTCTGCCTCACATATTATACTGTCTCTCTTCACCTGCTCAGATCACTACAGTAAACAGCTTATCAAAACTAATCTCATCTGATCTCTGAGCATTCTCAGAGATTGAGATGACTTGGTCTCACATGTCTGTGAATGTTTCAGATAGTTCATTCTCTGTGATCTCTGTGATTGAACTGGTGTAAACAGTTGAATTCAACTCTGAATTCCTTTTTCTTCCGCAATCTGACTCATATGTAAGTCTGTCACTTTGAGACTGCTCTTTACTGTGTTGCACCTGCTGTCTGCAGTATGTTATCATATAATCAGCTACAGTCTTATCACTTATTGAAGTGTGATGTTCACCTGATTTCTTCATTACTTCTCATTCTTTCCTTATAATTATGAAAAGATCAGAATAAGTGAGATCATCTGATTTATAAGCATCTATGATTTCTCTTACTTCATGAGACTTTTCAATTGTAAGCTTCTTCTTTTTCAATACTGATAATAGTGCTGTAGATAATCATAATTCACTCAGGTCTTACATCTTTACTTTTATAAGTCATGAATTATTGATTAAGTTGTATAAGATCTGTCTCTCTGATTCTTTCAATGTGTACATTCTCAGAGAATGTGATTTAAGTATCTTATATAGCTCAAATTATCTAGGTTGAAACTTCTCAGAATTCTTATTGTGTATGAGAACTCACATTCTCATCTTGAGACTCAATTTCTTAATAAGTGAGTCTTGTATTCTTTTCAATTGAATTGCTCAGTTCAGGAGTAACTTGTTAGCTTTTGCATGTGCATGGCTGATCTCTTCCAATCTTGGTTCTGTGTCCGCGACTGCTGTGTCTGCAACTGCTGTTTCTACTGTGTCCGCAACTGCTGTTCTCTCTCTCATCTTTTTCAAAGCATTCTCCAGAATGCGCGGATGTAATTCATACAACAGGTAGAATGATGAACACTTGAAGACTGCATGCTGTCGAATCCGTGTGGCCAATAGCACCTGTCTGAGATATTCATCTCATAGTCTTGTAGGCTTACTCACTAGATATTTCATCAGCATATTACTCAAGATTTCATTCAAGTATTTTATCTTCCTGTTCATCTGCAGATGATATAGCATTGTTCTATAATATCTTGTCTGTAACTGGTCCATGAAATGCCTCACTACTTCTCCTACAAGGTTCACACTGTTATCAGTTAGAATCTCACGCGGCATTTCATAGTTAACATAGATCTCATTATGTAGAAACTTCATCATCATCTTCTCTATCATCTCTGAAACTGCTCTCATGACTGGCCAGTCAGTAGCATAATCAATAGCAGTGATTATTCATCAATTTTCATTTGACATTTGCAGCAATATGTCTATGAGATTCACTTCTTATTGTTTGAATAATTGTATTATACACTTCATCTGATATTGTGCTTTCTCATATTCTAACCCTTTCTTAGATTCTTTTGTAACCTGATAATTCAGGCACTTGTGAGTATACATCTGAATGTTCTCAGTCATGCTTGACCAGTATACTCTTGATTTGAGTATGCTCATGAGTTCAGGGCTTTCTAAGTGACTGAATTTCTTGTGTATATAAGTCATCAAGTCATATCAAAATGAAGATTCTAGATAGAGAGCTTCTGTGTATTCTAGATCATGATAAAGCACAATGTCATTTTTCAATTTTCTCAGCTTGAAGTTCAGAAGTATCTCTTCTACTACTTTCACAAGACACTTATTATCTGATATCTTACCATTCTCTAAGTAAGAGATTATGATGTTCACTTATTCTGATTCCTTACATCTTCTCAGCATGTTTAACATGAATGTTTCTTGTGTCTGGTTCACAGAACTCTCACTCATGAAATCAGGTCTGTAACTGATTGCATCTGACATCACTACATTCAATTCCTTTCAGTATTTGATATAAAGATTATACACTTGAAACTCTGAGATTCAACATACTAAGTATTTGAAAGATTTTATCATTAATTGTAGATAGACAAGGCTTTCATGATCTGTGATCACTGTTGTTATATACTTATTGTCAATATATCTATCTTATAATACTAGTATGTGCTTGATTGCTAGCAATTCCTTTTCATGCACTGAGTAATTGAGCTCAGCATCTGATAGTTTTCTATCATTATACATCATTAAATGCAGCTTGCTATTCTTGCTTATCTGTAGAAGAGTGTCTCTGATAGCTCATTCAGATGTATTTATCTCAATGTAGAAAGGTTTATCACAATCTGATTGAATAAGCACTGAGAATATTATTACACATTTTCTCAGTGTGAGAAAAGTCTCTTCACACACAGTATTTCAGATGATTGAATGAAACTTCTTCTTTCACAGATTTGCATTCATTTCTCTTAAGAGATCTGAGAGTGATGCAGATATTCATGCAAAATTCTTGATAAACCTGTAGTAGTATGAGATCAACTCAAGAAACTGTTATACATGATATACATTTCTCAGTCACAGTCAATTTGCTATGACATTCAATTTCTTCAGAATGAGGTGTATACAGTCATCACTCACTACATATCTCATAAACTTCAACTCTTTCATTTCAAACACACACTTAATTAATTTGATGTAGAGCTTATACTCTGTCAGAGTTGTAAGCACTTCATTGAGATACTTCAGATATTCATCATATGAGTTTGAAAAGACTAGAATATTATTGAGATATACAAGGTATGAGGTTTCATTCTGTTTATAAAGAATTGTATTCATCATTGTTTGAAAGATGATGAGTGCATTTATCAGACTGAATGACATTGCTAGAAATTCAAACTTCTCTCATTGTATATTAAACACAGTTCACAGAACTGACAGTTTATCTACACAGATCTGTCAGTATTCTGAGAGAAGATTAATCTTTAATAGATATCAGGCATTTTCAACTGTATTCAACTGTTGTTGAATTCATGACAGTGAATATTCATTCTTGATCATAAGCTTATTAAGTGCTTAATAATCAATACACATCTGTCACTCTTCACTCATCTTTTTCACAAATAGGACTGAAAAGCCTCACACACTTGATGAGAGTCATATGAGATCATATTCTAGAAGGTCTGTGATCTGACACTTCTGTTCTTCAAGATGTGTTTGTGACAGAGAGTACACATTCTGGTTGACTGGTTTTGCATCTCTCATGTCAATCTCATGTACAAATCCTCATTTCAGCAGCAATTCTGATGAAAGATCTGTTCAGAAGATTTTTTCATACTTCTTCAGAAGCTTCTTCATATACTTGTTCTCTCATATATTCTTTATCTTGATTTCCTTCACTTCTGAGTTCTGTATGACATACAGAATGCTTTCAGATGAGGTCTTGCAAATCATTCTCTTTACTTGTTAATGTATAAGCAGATTTAATTCTTCTATATCAGAGGTATGAAATGTCCTTCTCATATCAGTTGATAGAATTGTATGAATCATTTTCTTTCTATCAGTTAACTGTATATAGCATGTACATCATTGAATCTGCAGATTGAATCTTTGAAATCAATTAAGTTCAAGAATAAGATTATATTTCATGTTCTACAGCTCTCATGCTCAAATATAGCAAGATCATTCTTCAAAGTGCAAGAGAACTCTTACTTTTACAGGTGATATCAGATATCAGTTATCAGATAATCTTATGCATTGAGAGTTCTTCACTCAGTAGATCTCTTTCAATCTTCAGATTATATAATTATCAATATATTATATAGAAGCTTCTGTGTTCACTAACACTTTTACAGTCATCTCTCAATTCTTATTCAAGTGCTCTCTATACATTAACATTTCAGGCCTTAAGGCATTGAGATGAGTGTTCACTTCATTCTTCTCATTCACATCTTATTCAGAAGCCTGCTTCTTCTTTGTATTCACAGAATTCAGAGAGTCATCTAACATGAGCATCTCTTTCACTTTAAAGACTTTTCATAGAATATCAGTGAGTGTCTCTGAGCTCACTAATTCTGCTAGTTTTTTAACTCTCTTACTTCTCTTAACTGTACACACTGAGTGCAATCTTTTATATCATGATTTTAATGTTCATAGTTGAAGTAAGCTTGATGCTCACAACATCAAGATTTTCACTCAGAGAATTTCTTTTTCAGAGAATTCAGTGCTTTAGTGATAGCATTCAGATCTAGATTCATCACATTCAGATATGTGACTTGTGTCATAGAAGTCTGATTACTCATTCTTCATTGAGATATACTCAATTGCAGTATTTTCTGTCACAATTAACTCACTTATTTCTGTATAATAAGAATGTTATATGCTTTCTCTACTATATCTAGTTATGAGGTTAAGCATTTTCATTCTGCTCTCAACTCAGGCATAAGATTATGAATGAAGATCTGTAAATAGAAAGATGTTAAAAGCTCTTCATTTAACACAAGATAGTATAAGCTGAAGTGTATAAAGTATAATATAAGATCACTCACTTATCTATACTCAGTGAAGTATTCATAACACTTATCTCATGCATTCACTTTCTCAAAGTTATGCAAGATTCATTTGAAAAACTCATTTCATATTCATGAGAATGAATATCACTCTGAGTCTGTGAGATTTATCTTTTCACTAGTCATTTATAATGACTTCACTTTTCTGTGTAGAAATACAGCAGATCTTAAGACTTGTTAAAATTTCATTAACTATCTGTCTGTGAGTTCATATTCAATCTGATAATATAATTATATCTGACTTAGTCAGCTGATTGCAGTATCATTTTTTCAGTCATCATTGAAGCTTAATAACTTCAGCAGATCTTCTAGCTTGATATATTTCATACTCAGATTCTCATTCTACACAGTAATCTCTGATGATGTGTACACTTCTGAAGAGGTTATGAACAATTGTGATGAAATCTCCAGGTTCAGTGTAGTCATCTGTCTGTGTAAACATTCAATCTTCTGCTGCAGATCTAAGATCTGATTTTCTCTATTCTTATTGATGATGGTGATTGCATCAGTGAAGCTCTTCATAGTGAATGCTTAATTCACAGTGAATGTCAATTGTTATTTGATCTCTGTCTCAGCCTGCCACTGTGTACACAAGGCCTCAATCTCATTTAGAATCCTCATACATGTACAGAGCTTCAATTCCAGTTCAGTGATCTCAGCTGCTTTTCTTACTGTTTTAAGTAAACTCTCTGAGAGGTTCTGCATATCTTCCAGTTCAGATAGCAGAGAAGAGTGTTATTCATATCAGCTAGAGAAGATATTCATTTCAGTGATTTCTGGTTAATTATACAATGTCTATCATTATATCACTTGTATTATTATATCACTATATCACTGTATTATTATATCACTATATCATTCTATCACTATATTATTATATGATTTCTGTTATCATCATACAACTCTGGTGATAGTCACTCTCTCTTTTATTCTTCTTTTAAGTAGAGAGCAGACTTCTTTGAATCTGGTTCATCACTTTCATTCTCTTTCTCACACCTCATTCATTCATGTCTCATACATGGCATTCACCTGGGCATGGAGTTTTCCCCTAACAAGTGAAGCAGCATCAATTGAATGCTCTTTCACTCATTGCCCTTCATACACTATCTTTTGAGGTGTTCTAGGACCACACTGACATGATAACTATGAATTGCTTCATAGGCAGAATTATCACACCCTGAAGGAGCCTGCGCTTCTCACCGGTTTTTAGACATGCTATCAGATGTGATTCAAAGGTTGCTTAAGCTAGCATACGATTACAGGCGTACGCCGGCTTCTTATATATTGAATCTCATACACTAAATTAATTAGTGGCTGCTAGGGCCCCCTTTACATTCGTACACATACACTAGTAGTTCGGAAGCGTACGCGTACGCTAGTAGTTCGGAAGCGGCCGCGTTATTATTCAACAGTCGTACGTTCTTCCGAACCACAAGTGATTTATACAAAACTTCTCAGATATCATGAGATCACTTACAGAACTCACTAAGAAGAACTTAGTATTTCAATGATCAGTGAATACTGAAGCTGCATTTACACAGATAAAGAAGATGTTTATTAATATCTCTCTACTAATAATATTTAGTTCTGATTATAAGACAGTTATTGAAGCTGATTTCTCTGACTATGTAATAGAAGAAGTGATATTGTAATATAATAATGAAGATGTTTTATAATTATATATCTTCATGTTTAAGAAACTGAGTTCTCACTGAATGCAATTATCAGATCTATGATAAGAAACTTCTTATAATTATACACTGTTTAGAAGAATAAGACTCTGAACTCTGAAGTGTCTCTGAATTTAAGATAATCATATATTATAAGAATCTTAAATACTTTATAACTATCTGTAAACTTACTGAATAATAGATATGATAATCTGAGTTCTTAAGCTGCTTTTATTTTATAATACACTACTGTTCTGACAGTCAGAACTTGATGACAAATGCTCTTTCATAATAAGAGTAGAATATATTATTTAATATAACAGATACTCACTAAATGAACTGAGAGTATTAACTCTTGAATCTGAAGATACTAGTTAATCAAGATAAAACAGCTCATAGTACTGTATATACTTCTTCAATTAGAACTATCACTAATATCTCAACTTCTCTCAAATCTATATTAGATAAGCTATAGCATACAGCAGCTTAAACTGATGAACTTCTCTAAGCACTTACTGAAGTAGTATAATAAGAAGCACTCTGATTTCTCTCAGAATTATATATAAGAACTGACATCTCAGAATGTTCAATCAATAATAATAATACTCTACAATTCTGTAAATGATGCTGAGTCTCTCACTCTGAACTCTTACACACTCAGATAATGCAAGAGATGCATGATTTGTGTATAACTGATTATTCAGACTGTGAATAACTGTATAGAATAATCTTCTGAGAGTTCTATTAACCTGAGATATTAAACAGTATCAGATGCTTTATCTGAAACTGCAACTACTGTTCTTCTGTTATCTTATAAAAGAACTGTAGAAAAGATCTACTGAAATCACTCAATGTTTCTGATAGAATCTGATAAGATGTAGTAATTGACTTTGCTGTTGTGGCGGGCTGCGCCCGATCAATTATATAGACTATTCCATTACACTCTATAGATTCTTCCATTCCCGATCGCCGATCCTCGGCCGCTACGAACGCGCGTAACATACACTCCGATTCTCAGCCATTTCTGATTGCTGATCCTCGGCTGCTATGAACACGTGTATATTCTTCCACCCCGAAGCTTCACCGCGTACGCCACCACATACATGTATAAATATTCATCTCAATCACTGATTCTCACACTTTCTCTTTCTTTCCTTCTTTAATATTTTTATCTTTGTTAAATAAGATCTATCAATATAATACTGATCTATTTAATGTAGGTCTCTTACACTATAAAAACATTCATTATCTTCTTATTAGAAAATAATTATTCACACATTGTCTTCTTATTAGAAATAATTATTCATTGAGAGATATCTGAATAGACTGACCGTGTGACCGTGTCTGAGACCAGGACCAGAATTTTTGATAGTCTCATTTAGACTGACTGTGTGACCGTGTCTGAGACCAGGACCAGATTTTTTGATAGTCTCATTACCAATTCGACTGATCCCATTACATGGTTTTAACATTAGATAGTAGTTTCATACTGTTTCAGTGAGACTTACTGTCTACTCTTGTCACATTTTTCAAATGAGACCATGATTTCCACTTCTCAATTTAAATTATTTTTATTGCTTTAAATGACTTTAAATCTCATTTGAGCATTATCAAAAAGTGTTACTTTTTAAAAAATTAAAAATAGTCTAAAAAAAACCTTAAAATGTCTAAAAATAGTAACTTTATGCCAAGAATGAGACTAAATGGGATCAAATGAGATCACTTTCTCATTTTTTTCAAGTCATGGTTTCATTTTAAGATCTGATATATAGTCACTTTATCTATTTTTTTGATAGCCAGTCCCAGCAGAATTCACGCCAAGAAATGTATGAGACCAGATCAAATGAGATCAAATGTGAAATTCATGATCCCGGCGGCCAGTCTAGTCTCATTGTTAATTTGACAGATCTCATTACACGGTTCTAACATTAGATAGTAGTCTCATACTGTCTCAGTGAAACTTACTGTCTACTCTTATCACATTTTTCAAATGAGATCATGATTTCCACTTCTCAATTTAAATTATTTTTATTGCTTTAAATGGCTTTAAATCTCATTTGAGTGTTACCAAAAAGTGTTACTTTTTAAAAAATTAAAAATAGTCTAAAAAAAACCTTAAAATGTTTAAAAATAGTAACTTTATGCCAAGAATGAGACTAAATAAGATCAAATGAGATCACTTTCTCATTTTTTTATTTGCATGTTTATTTAATGATTAGTCCCAGCGGGATTCACGCTAAGAAATGTATGAGACCAGATCAAATGGAATCAAATGTGAAATTCATGGTCCCGGCGGCCAGTCTATATCTGAATATGTAATAATATGTAAGAAATAGAGAAACAGTTAAACAGTTAAACAGAACACTGAGTCTTTAAATAGAAGCTTACTCATCAGTTACTCTGACTCTGTAACAAGATGTTATAAAGAGAATAAGATTTAATAAGAGAATATTAGTAAAAGACTCAAGAGTTCTGACACTCAGACATATAGAAATACAATTACACTTCTTCAGATTTCACAGATATTATATATTCAACAATTGATATAATCATGTCTAATAATAATATGAAACTCTCAAATATAAGTATAAACATAGACTGGCCGCTGGGACCATGAATTTCACATTTAATTCCATTTGGTCTGGTCTCATACATTTCTTGGCGTGAATCCCGCTGGGACTGGCTATCAAAAAAACATGCAAAGTGACTATATATCAGATTTTAAAATGGAACCATGACTTGAAAAAAATGAGAAAGTGATCTCATTTGGTCTCATTTAGTCTCATTCTTGACATAAAGTTACTATTTTTAGACATTTTAAGGTTTTTTTTAGACTATTTTTAATTTTTTAAAAAGTAACACTTTTTAGTAACACTCAAATGAGATTTAAAGTCATTTAAAGCAATAAAAATAATTTAAATTGAGAAGTGAAAATCATGGTCTCATTTGAAAAATGTGATAAGAGTAGACAGTAAGTCTCACTGAGACAGTGTAGAACTACTATCTAATGTTAAAACTGTGTAATGAGATCAGTCAAATTGATAATGAGACTATCAAAAAATCTGGTTCTGATCTCAGACACGGTCACACGGTCAGTCTATATAAACATAATGTCACAGTGACTCTGAGTAATGTTGAAATTACAATAATAATAAATAGCTGATATGCATGCAACTCAACAACTTTAATATAAAGAGATTCAATGATTAACTCATGTAATTTCAACATCTACAGAATTGAATATAAAAGCACTGAAAGAATGCTTAGATGCTTCTGTATATTTTAATACTTCTGATCTCACTCTCTACTCATTATAAAGAATGAAAATACTTATGAAACTAAGTGTAGATGAAGATTTCATCAGTTTATTAATTAATTAAGATTAATATATCGATGAATGATTAAAGAATTGCATGAAACAGAAGTTCTATTCATGAATGAAAGCATGTGAATCAGTGTTGTGAATATCTGATAATATTATCAAATATCTTGATATTCTGTTCTGAGACACTGTCATGTAATAGAAAGCATTAGATTAATTACAGAGTGCTTAACAGAGAAACATTTCTCTTATAATATTTATCTCTGACTTTAATATCAAGATCTTAGAAGCAGGTGATCAATCTTGAAAGAATTGAATGAAGATTAGCATGCTTAAGAAGATATTAACTTTTGAACTCTTATAGACTCTTATAAGTGTAAATAAAGACTCAACTTATGAAGGCTTCTGCACACAGCTCTGAACATTGAATGACTATCTTATCAAGCTTAAGAGTATACAGAATAGTGATAGAAGATGTTACATCTCAGTCACTTATACACTTGCACTGAAGAATAACAATGATGCAGATA